AATTTTATTTGATTTTCAGGTAATTCTTTTTAGATAATTTATTCAAAATCTTAAAAGTGAATTCATCTCATGAGAACTTTGTTTACATAATATTAATTTTAAAAATCACTCTTCTTATGTGATTTAACCTTGCTCCATATGCTTTAATCATACAAATGTATTCCATGTCATTTTAAACATTTAGAATCTACATTTAGTTTGTTTTATGTGATCTCTATGTGCATCTTCCCTTCATGTATAGGCTTTACATGTGTGTGTTGTTCTATGTGTATGATCTCCAAACTTAGTTTACTTTTGCATGTAATCTCCATTTGTATTTGTGCCCTCATGAATATGGTTTTCATGTGTACGATTCTCATATGCAAGATTTCTATGTGTAAATTTTCATGTATTATTTTTTTACTTTATATGAATTTTCTTCCTTATTCTTTTTTATGAAGTTTTCTCCTATGTAAAACAATTAGTTCTTTTGTATCGGTAATGTACTTTCTTATGCAAGACCACTAAGTGTGATTTTTCTCCATATAGATAAGATACTTCCCCTTATTTTCGCTAGGTTGTAACCAAACCCTAGTCACCTACACCTCCATTCGTTTCTCTAGGTTGAAACTTATCCCTAGAAACCTACAAGTCCCTTCATTTCCCTTAGCCTAAATCAAACCTTACCAACCTAGAATTCCCCTTATTTCCCCTAGGCTGAAACCTAACACTAGCCAACTACAACACTTCTTTTTGCCCTACACTTCTTTTATTTCCCCAAGGCCAAAAACTAATCTTAGCCACCAACACTTCATCATTTTCCTTGAGGCCAACAATTAAACCTAGCCACCTACACTTCCCTTTATTTCTCTTAGCTAAAACCTTACCCTAGCCACCTACACTTCCTCTCATTTCCCATAAGTTGAAATTAGCTAACCCAAGACACCTACAATTCTCCTTATCTTCCCTAGAACAAAACAAAGCATATCCATTTACACTTCCCCTCATTTTCTCTTTGTTGAACCACACATTCTAGCCTCACCCGACCCCCTCTTCCTCTTTCCTACCTGGACTAAAAGCTTCATGTGCACTCACATCTCCTCACCCTTTCTCCCCTTGGTCAAGTCTTGTCCTAGTTGGTTTACTTGCATGTACACTTCTTCAAATGTAGCTTACTTGTACATATAATATTTATGTGCAATTTACTCTATGTATAGTTTGTTTTTATACATTGAATTTATATGCATAGTTTGTTTCCATTTGTAACATTTCAATGTATAGTTCATTTATATATGTTTTCTCTTTGCATGTATAATCCTATGTATGTCTAGTCTTTACTACATATATTTTATCTCCATATGTAGATTTCATGTATAATAATATGCAGGTTTCATACATATTTATTTCATGTATAGTTTACCGCATTGAATACATGAATGTCAATGAAAAGTGTGTAGGACTTATATGATTTTTCCATTTGTTAAACACATGATTTTGAAAGAATCATGTATAAGTTTCATATGTAATTTCTTTCATGTGTAATTCTCTTTCATATGTAGGCTTCATGTGCTTCCATGTGTGAGGTCTTATGTGCTTTCAAGCATAGTGTTACCATCTAGAGTTTACTTTCATGTATGAAAATACCAATGTATAGTTTACTTCCATGTCTATGTAGCATGTGCTTCAATGTGTAAGGTCTTATGCACTTTCATATGCCGCTTTTATATCCAATTGTTTGTTGTCTCGATGCATGTGTGGGATGTTTAATGTATAAGCTTCTTTATGTGTCAAGTAATTTTTAATATGTTAAGCATTACTCTATGTGTTAAATTTTCCTCCATATGTTAATTATGTGAAATTGAAATAACACATAAAAAAAAAAGAAGAAAGCCTCTAATGTGTTGGTACTAGTTTTCATGTGCAAGTATGTTATATAAATGTGCTACTTGGGAGACCATATGAAAAATATATGTTTATTTATAAATTTAGATAACTTGGTTATAAATTTCTCACAAAATAAAATCTAAAGTTCACAACACTTTAAGCCATTTTAAATCTTAAATTTTAAAATACCTTAAAATATTTTAAATAATTCAAAAATATTAATTTTAAAATTTTTTAAATAACTTTTTAAAAATAGTTCAAAACCTTAATTTTAAAACATTGTAAAGTACTTTATAAAAATTAACTTAAAAAATTGCAAAATAATTCAAAAATATTATTTTTTAAAACATTTAGAATTTCAATTTTAATGAGCTTAAAAAATTAAATCTTAAATTTAAAATACTTTAAAATATTTTAAAATAATACAAAAATCTTATTTTGAAAAATTTTTGGAAAAATAATTCATTATCTTAATTTTGAAATATTGAAAAATATTTATAAAACACATTTAAACCTTTAAAATAATTTAACTTGTTAAAATTTTAGTAGCTTTTAAAACACTTTATACCATTTGAAATAACTTATAATTTCAACTTGCAGAACACTAAATCATTTAAAATAATTTTAAATAAAAACACTTTAAATCATTTAAAATGACTCGAAATCTCAACTTAAAAATTATTTTAAGACCAATTAAAATACTATAAAATCTCAACATTAAAATGCTTTGAAACCATTTAAAATACTTAAAATTCCAACTTCAAATTACTTTCAAATTCTCTAAAGAAATAACTTAAACTTTCAAACATTCATGATTTAAATAATTCAAACTTCTAACCTATAAAAAATTTAAGATTTTCAAACACTTCACACTTCCTAAATAGATTTGAAACTCTTAATCCCCAAACATTTAAAACAATTAAAACACCTAAACCTAATTGAACCACATGAAATTAATTTATTTTTTCCAAAATGCTTAACCTTTTGTATGTAAATCCTTATTTAAAATCAAATGAACCCTCAATGTTCATATAAACTTTAAACCAACACAAGTAAACTCAATGGAGAATCCCAACTTATGATAGAAAATAAAATGCAAAACTTTGAACATAGAACACCTTGATTTTCATATTAACCGATAAACTAGAAGTTAAACCGAATTATGAATTAAATATCAAACTCAAAAATACATTTAGAATTCACCAACTTAAATAATGAAAACATCTATAGGTAGATCAATTATGAATTCATAGTTAGCCAACCTAGAAATAATAGTCAAGATCACACATCTCTGTCGATTTTAAATAAATAATTTTTTTTTAAAGAACCAAAATATTTCTTCGGATATATTTTACTTCTAGAAATCCCAAACAACTACAATTAATTGGCCGTCTTAATTTGAAACTCGGGCAAAAGATAGCTCAAGCTAGCTCACTAAATTTACAAATTTTACCAAGAAGAAAATACAGCTGTAAGGTCACTTTCAAGAGTAAACTCGAATGGCCGCCTCCTATATGGAATTTGGGAAAAGCTAAGCTACCCACTAGAGCTGAAAGCTTGACTGTCATATTCATATATATATATATATATGTGTGTGTGTGTGTATAATTTTAGAAAGAAGAAAATACAGTTGTAAGTTCTTTTTCAAGGCTAAACCAGAATGACCGCCTCCTATATGGAATTTTGGAAAAATTAAGCTACCTAATAGAGCTAAGAGCTTGACTGTTATATTCATTCATATATATATATATATAGACATATATATATAATGTGTATAATATATGGACATTGACAAGTATTCTTTTCCTCTCCTCATATCTCTGTGTCATGATATTGAGATATTTTTTTGCTATGAGGTGGTGGCATATATTGTTGTTCTTGCCGAATTAGAATATAAGACAGAAGAGGTGATATTTCATATATTATATGGATGTCTTGTGGTACAATTTTTAATATGAATTCAAAATTTTTTTTTAAAAAACTATATTATCACGTTTATCATATTGTTTTTTTTAAACACTAATATAACTTTAATTCAAAAAAAATTCATTTAATCTTGGACATAATTAATGTCTGAAGACAATACCTTGACAAAAAATTTTAAATGAATTGATGAAATTAACTCTTTGCATAAAATAATGTCAATCTAGTTTAAAATGGATATATTATCACAATCTCCTTCATAAAATGACATAACTGAAGAAAAAAATTTAAGATATAAGCATGTTGTACTGAACAAAACATATAAATAATTCTTAAATCCGCTATAATAAGGACAAAAATGATTTTAAAATACATGATTTGATGTAGGGGTCCATAACATAGCATACACACACGGTTGTACTGAAGAAAAATCTCAGATACAACCGTGTTGTACTTAACAAAACACAATGAATAATTCTTAAATCCGTCGTAGCGAGACCAAATATGATTCTAAAATAAATGATTTGAAAATAAGAGCTTATTGTATGGCATAAAACATGTGTTGTATTAAACAAAAATATGTAAATAATCCTTAAACCTTATATTAACTCTTACTTAGTTCGGTACATTACTGTTATACCTGAGATATTTCTTCAGTACAATCGTGTTTTATGTCATGCTATGAACCCTTACATTCAAATAATATATTTTAGAATCATTTTTGTGGTCGTTATAGCAAATTTAAGGATTATTTATATATATCGTTCAATACAACATAGTTGCATCTGAGTTTTTTCTTCAGTTCAATCCTGTGTTTATGTCATCCTTTGAATCCTTACATTCAAATCATGTATTTAGAACCTTATAACTCTATTGGAGTGAATAAAATATGTAAAAAAATCCAATTTTAGTTTGGAGTCTAGGCATAGAGTAACATTCGAACACTGCACGCAATATTTTTTCAATTTAAAACCATTATTTTAAAGCTCAGACAGAAATAAATATAGAACTAAATCAAAAAATATAAATAATATAGTGGTTTTTTTTTATTTTAAAAAAAAAAAAAAAAAAAAAATAAAATAAAAAAGTAATTTAACACTCTGATATAAGCAAGCATATATTTATTGATTTCATTCATAAGTCGACACACAAAAGTATAAGCTGTTACATCACAGTGCATGAATGAGCGAGCAGGAGTGCATGAATGAGCAGAAGTGCAAAATTATATAAGTATTGGCCATGCAGCTCTTATTTAGCTCTTCAATGTTATTTATGAAGTAGTCCACTGCTTAGTTGAGCCCTCCGACGCCACCCCCATATCCAGATCCCCCACCAGATCCATGACCAGACCCACTGCCGGACCCTCCACCGCCGCCACCTCCGCCGCCGCCACTTCCTCCTCCCTGAGCCCCACCTGCACCTGAACCTGATCCAGAACCCCGG